GTGTGTGTGTGTGTGTGTGTGTGTGTGTGTGTGTGTGTGTGTGTGTGCGTGTGTGTGTGGCGCAGTGAGAACAATAACCTGTGTCTTTAAGAGTGTTTTGACCCAGACTCCAGGTAATTAATTCAAATCATTAGGGGGGTCTCTCCTCTGACACACAAAATGTAAGTATTTCTCGTTCTTATTAGCGCAGGTTATGCACAGCAGTGCCGCTTGTCTGTTTAGCCCCTGAGCGGACATGTTTACATGCATGTAAAGCAGGGGTGCAGCTATAAAAATGCATGCATCAGATTTATGTGTGTGTGTAATTAAACATGCCAGGGTCTCTTCTCACAAGCACAGGTGATTTGCAGGAGGAAGACCCACGCTCGTATATTATCGAGACACATATATGTAACGACATAAAACGTTGCTTCACACTGAAGTGCCGCTTTATCTCACTGACACGTCCTGCTTTAAATGAATTATTTAAATGACAAGAATGAAGAGTATATTATGTACAAGAATGGGTAGGACAAAAGATGTGCGAAGAAAGGGAATATTTTAAGAAGGCTGATGAGCTATCTTTTCTCTCCTCTGAATATTTCCCTTCAATTAGTTAAACTCTTGCTTTCCCTCTGTGCACACCTGTCAAACAGACGACATTTACATTGAAAACAGCCAGAATCTCCCATTGAGGTGTTTTAATGAGCATACAACACCCCACAAGTCTCCGTTTTTAAAGTATCACTCAACAATTAGAATGATGAAATATGCATGAGAGCTAATTTGATTTTTAGTTCAGTGTTCTTGTAAAACAGGGACAAAATGTCTGCTTCAGAGAAACACTGATGGCCAGTTTGTCTGTGTTTAAGGGAAGAGTAATTAAGAGTTTTAAAAAGTTCCCAACTGTATGTGTTGCATGTGTCATAATCCTATAGCGTTGCACGCCCCTCCTTTCTCCTCCACTCCCCTTCTTTTTCTCTCGCCTCCGTGCTTTTTAATTTCTTGCCCCGGTGGCTTCATCATTGGTCACCTGTCAGCGGTGCAACTTGTAGAGTGAAAGAAGGGTAAAAAAACTGACAACTTTCCCCACAACACCCACAAATGGACACGACTAGCTGGCAC